GGCAGCATTTGCCACCACCACCTCTGGGCTGCCCAGCACACAAGCTCTGGGCGGCAGCAGCAGCCAACACTACCCAACGTGGCAAGCAGGGGGGCTGCAGCTGCTGTGTGCAGCCCTGACAGGGCCCAGGCTGGTAGCGGGGCTGGGTTACAAGCTGGTGCTGAGCGTCAGGAAAAGTAGCCCCTCACCTGCCCCATGACCGGTGCTCCACGCTGCAGCCACTCGCAGCCAGCATGGGGCTGCCTGTGCCTGCTCATGCAGGCTGCAAGCGGCTGCAGCACGGAGCGCCAGCCATGGGGCAGGCGAGGGGCTGCTTTTCCCTGGGCTCCTTCCCCTGTTCCCCCCCCCACTTACCTGAGGTTCCAGCGCCAGGGCAGCCACATGGTCCCAGACCAGAAGCCCCTATTGGGGCTTCTGGCTGGGGAGGCGGGGGAGGGGGGGGCCTGCTGTTGTGGGAGACCCCTGGGCTTCCCCTCGGGGCCTACTCCCCCACTGCCCCTGCTTCCTGTCATTTTTGACAGGAACCAAAGACAGATAAATATTAATTCTCTAAATTTTTTAGGGGCCCCACGGGCCGGATAGAATGGCCTCACAGGCCGCATCTGGCCCATGGGCCATATTTTGCCCACCCCTGCCCTAAAGCCTCTACTTTATATGTATCTGATTCTGCATTGCATCAGGGACAAATGGGGAAGCCTTGTCAAGCTGGCAAGTCAGTAAGGAAATGGGTTTAAGCCAACATCCAAATGGCAGCTGTGCAAGGTGTGTCTGGACCATAAAGCTGCCAGCTGCATTGTGACTGACTACACTAAATCCTCCACCATCACTAAGACAGCAGAGGTGTACTAAGGGGAAATTCAGGTCCTGTTTTTGGACCAGCAGACAAGGCCTGCTATTGCTTTCCATCAAGGAAGAGTCTAGGGCAGTGGTCACCAACCAGTGGATCTTGATCCACCAGTAGATCTCTGCATACCAGAAAACTTCCACACACACTGGAAATTGGAGAGGACTGTACTCACCAGCAGGAGAATGAAGCAGAGCTCCACAACCGGGTTAGACTGGAGAGACTGGGGACCAGAATCTATTCCACCTATTGGGCATCCAAGTGGAATCAGGCACCTAACTGTGATTTATTCCACTCTGTTCAAGTCCCTGAAAATCCATTAAGGAACCTGTTTTTGTAACAGGCCATCATCTCATCTTTAAGGCTGACTCACAAAAGAGCAGTGTGGAGGAGATGCAGTAGAATCCAGACCTACATCACCAATATTGTTCTACTGTGCATCAGCGTCCTGCCTACTCCCACAGACAGCTTCCTCAAAGCAGCTGTACTAATGCTGTGTTACAAGGTGAAAGTAAACACACTTCAGTGTGATGGCTGCCTTGTGTTTCATTTTGTATACAAGTTCCTTATTTCATCTTCTTGACAGCAGGACTCTTGGAGACATGGGGATATGACAAAAAAATGAGGTGAGCCTATCTCTGCACAGAGTCTAGAAACAACCAAATGATGAGAAGACCCACATACCACAGGAAGAGAGCTCCAGAATGTCTTGTTAGGGTGCTCTCACTGCACCTGGCTTTCCACTTCAGACTACTGATAAGCTTGAACCCCTCTGGTTGCTGGAAAGAAGGAAAAGGAGATCTTTCCCTCACTTTTTATGGCCTTATGGCTGTTGTGTACAGCCAGGGCAGACTGCGCTGGACAGGACAGATTACCTTCATGCATACAATGACAGTGTGGGTTCTGCACAAATTGCTAGCTTTAGTCCTTACACCCAGCCAGAAAAATTCCCTACTGACCAGGAACAAGGAGTCCTCATACCTGTATATTTTAGACAACAACCCCATTGTAGTCAACAGAACCACACACATATACAAGGGTTGCAAGGCCCCTCTGTCATATCTTGTGATAGGAGTGCTGAGACACAGTATTTCCATTGAACAATCTACCTGATAACCTACTCCTTCCCTTCTCACAGTGGAGTTCAGTGCTGGCTTTCAGTTATCATTAAAGTCAGCAAGTGCTGTTCTGTCATCTTTTGGATGATCAGAAGTCACTGACTGCATCTACCTGATGTGCCAGGTGTTCTGCAAATAACTCGAGTCATTTGCCCATTAGTTAACTGTTTCACTGTTCATGGACAGTATAATTCTGTTCACCCAAGCTGTGCCATAAATGTTGCAAGGTTTAGTTTTGCTGTAGCACCACGTACTCTGAGTGTAATTCATGTGTCAAGAACTGGTTGGTAAAAATCCTTCAGAAATGTACATATGAAGACTACGTGAAGCCACATTTGCACCTCCCCAAAGCCCTTTCCCAGCCTGTTGCCTCTAACAAGACATCTGAAAGACAAGGGGAAGAAGCCTTGTATATCTCTAATCAGAAACACTGAAGTGTTAGAACTAGATAGTTCTGTGGTAGGTATACAATCCTAGGTACATTCCCCCTTCCTGGCTCTTAGCTCTCTCCTTGCTTACACACACCGGCTATCTTCTCCATATGGAAAGCCAGCCCAACCCTAAAACCTATTAAAGTAACCGCACCCACTGTTTCCTTTGGCAGACAGTGGAACATTCCAGATATTCTCTGGGTGTAAAAGCCCATCCCATATCTAGCTTAGTCTTCTCCTTAAATTTCATACCATGACTGCAGGTTATTCTTTCTGCACAGGAAAAAGGCTACATCCTAGATTCTGGCGTGGCCCCAAGGCATGTTAGTATATTATGACTAATCCTCCTCATATTCAGGAGCGTGAATAAAGAGCTAGTCCGTAGGGTTCAGTTTCCTTGAGCAGTTCACTACATGGAAATGATTCTTCTTTTCAAGGCAGCCTGTAGCTTGCTCCCCTGAGCTGCTCCTCTCCTCTTTTCTTCAAATATTTCTCTAGCAATCTCAGGCCAATCTCAGGCCTGGCACAGGCAGCTACATCTGCACTGATGCAAAGAAAATTGCAGCTGTTTATGCCAGGGCCAATTTCACACCGCATACTCACATGCATTTAAATGGGCCGAGTTTTCCCCTTGAATAGGGCAAGCAGGATTTAACCCCAAGTCTAATGTTGGGCTATAAAATCCAAATTATAACTCTAAACCACACTGCCCAGGTTACAGAAAAAACTGAGGTTAAATAAACTTTATGAATGCAATTAAAAAAAAAACAAACCCTTTACCTCCCTTTACTTCCTGCTACCTCTATTGCTGAATTTCATTACTAGACAGTACATCAGACTAGTTCAGGATGCTGTAGTTGAAATTAGTGATAGGCATAACACTGAGATCCCAAAGATCTTTAATACGTCCACAAAACTGGACTGCCACATAACTGCTTTTATTGAGAAAACAGTTATCACAGCAAAATATATTAATACAAGTGCAACTGCTTTGGGCCTTTATCAGGATTTTTTTAAATTTATGGGCAAGGCTGTTTTTGTTATGATATGACATGGTTTGAAGCCAAAATCCATAAAGCCTGCATTATTTCAATCAAAATTCTGTTTAGGATCAGCACAGCATTGAACACAAATTAGGTTAAGAACATGGGTTTATAGGATAAGACCAGACATTTGTGACTGGGAAGATGACCAAGTCCAGGAGGTTCCTCAACATAAGATGGAAATGAACCAGAGATAATAATCCATGTTTCATTAGTCCCTAGTCAGAGGGGGTTCTATGATGTGTATGCCCTTTATACAGACATCTACCTTATAAGCAGGGATCCGAGTTTCCTGTTTCCCATGGAAGAACAGAGAAAACAATGGATTCCCTGTTTTTATCAGAGAAAATGCAGTTTTCTGGTTATCTAGTTTGCACAATGTTTTAGGGATGCAAAGTGTTTGATGATATGTCCCAACAAATAGACTTTTGCAGTGTGGTGGTGGCCATGGCCGCCGTGCGGGTGGGACAGTGGTGGGGATGGCTGCATGCCACCCAATCACCACCACACTGCTGCTGCCACCCTGAGCCCAGCCGCACAGCTCCAGGCACAGCTCCACAGCGCCGCAGGAAGGTTCTGTATGCAGCGGCCGTCTCCGCTGGCACGGCCCCACAGGTAAGTGGCAGCAGCCACCATGTGCAAGCCCCCCAGCCCCGCCAGCCACCATCCCTCACTGCCACTGCAAAGCTGGCCATAAAGCTGTGCAGCCGGCCACATGCAAGAACGGGCCCGCCGGGCCACATGCAAGCCTCCCCTTCCCTCTCCCCTGGGCAGCCAGCCAGGCAGCATGTGTGCGGCCCGCACATGGCGGGCACCACCACACTGCGCCCCGCATCACTTGCCCACAAAGCCCCCTGCAGAGGGGCACCCCTGCCCTCACCCCCTGGCCCTGCACCCCTGCCCTCACCCCCCGGCCCTGCTCCTGGGAGTGGGCACAGGAACACATTCCCCGCTTCTTGATCTACCCCCCAGCACCTTCCCTTTCCCCCCACACACACTTACCTGCTGGGGCGGGTGTCAGTGTCTGTGTGTGCCTCTGTGTCTGCCTGTCTGTGACTGCATGCGTGGGTCTGGGGGGCTGTTGTGAGGGGCATCAGGAGGGCTGTTGAGGCTGTGGGGGGAAGTGCGGGGCACCAGCAGCGCTGTAGAGGGCCTTTAATTTTTATCATGGATTTGGGGTTTTTAATCAGAGAATTTGCAATTTTTAATCAGAGAAAACCAGGATCCCTGCTTATCAGTGCCTCCTCCCATTCAAAATCTGATTTAATTCCATTCACCAGATCCACTAATCTCATAGGACATTATCTGGGGGAGGGGAGGGGGGAAACAGCCACAGAGTAACTCCCAAAAATCCACTACCCTGTATTGTGTCAGTCCAGAGCCTGAAAAGTACTTGAGATAAGATGCATCCTAGCAATCCACAGCACAGCATCTTCAAAAGATTAACAAAGACATGGGGCCAAGCCCTGTCTGCATGAACAAACTGATCTAAATTTTCTTCCTAGTATGCCTATGCAAGGTAGTTTGGTTTTTATGTAAAAAGAACTTGAAACAATTGACTTAACTTTAAAACATTTTTGGAGACATTTTTGAAAAAGGAAGTTGAATTCAGCATGAAAGTATCATGAAGAGGTGTTGAGAACTCCTCCCTGCTCCATTCCAAACATCATGCCAATGACTCAAGTGATTTAATGAGATCTGGGAGCAGACTATGATTGGACTGAGAAGACACCCTAGCATGTTGGAGCCCGAAGCAGTTTCAAACATCTAAGTAAACGATAAGAAGCACAGTGGAAACATGATAGACTTTTGCATCTCTCTCATCTAAAATAAAATAAGATCTCAATGCCATTTGCTGCTATCAGTGCATTCAGGGCACTGTACTGGGACTCAGGAGACTTTTGCTCTCAACAACAAACATCCTTATGAAAGTCATTTAATCTACCATTTGTTATCATCATTGCTAATGAACTCAAGGGGAGAAAGCAAGTACTTGAAATATTAAGTGAAAGTAAAATAAAAAAGGTTAAGTAAAAACCAACTTTGCATGTCTCGAATCCTTGGGGGTAAAATACAAGAATAAATAAATCATGCAATCGTTTTTGTATTTTTTTCCTTTAGCTTTACTCATAGCCACAACCTCACATGAATAACTCTGCAATTATTAGTGAAGTTGAAGGCAGAAAAGCTACCCTGTTATTATGTACCCATCAGCACTGACAACAGCAAGAAGCAGAACTATACATTTAAAGAGCTATCAAATTAAACATGCTTCTGCTTAAAAAATCTTTTTTGCCTGCTACTGCTAAATCAGAGATGTACAGCAGCTCATAAAAGTTCATAGTATACATCTCTGATTCAGTTAGTCTATAAGGTACAAATCTACCTGCCTGATGCCTAGCACAAAGGGAGTATGACACTAGATTGGGGCTGGCAAAGTCCAGCCCATGGGCCAGATCGGGCCTGTGGTAGACTCCATTTCCCAACAACCCCTGCCCACATTGCTGCAGCCAGTTCCCACAGACACCCCAGCAGGGCGGGGACATGGGGGGGGGTGCAGGGTTTCCATGGAGACCAGCCCCAGCACGCTGGCAGGGCATGCAGCTGGATGGCGTGCTGCTCCGGGGCTGGAGCACGGAGCCATGCCTGCACGACCCAGGCAGGGGCACGAGGCAGTGGATCACAGCTGTGCCCCAGCTCCAGGCCATGCAGTCACCACTACAAGATCCCAGTCCTGGCCACCACAAAACAGCTCCCCGCCCAACTGTGCTCCCTGTCAGCGCTGCTGGGGCCAATCTCAACGTGGGAAATGGAGTCTGGCTGTCGGCCGGATCTGTCATTTTGGCCACCCCTGCACTAGATGTTATTACAGTACAAATAAAACAAAAACACACAAGTCATAGATCAGCGGAGGCCAACCCTTTTGGCAGGCATGCCACAAATTAGCCCCACATCCTCCTCAAGAGACACTCTGTTCCACTTCTCCTTTCTGTTCCCTAACCAATCTGCTGCTCTGTTTTCTGCTCCCTCCTTTACCTGCCACAGTGCTGTCTGTCCCTTCCCCAGTCTGCTGCATGCATAGGCGGTGAAAGGCCAGGGCTAATGGGGCCTAGCCCCGCAAAATGTGGGCCAGCGGTGGCACTCCTAAGCTCCAGCCCTGCCAGTGCCCCTCACTCCCAACCCATAGCCCCTACCCCTGCCCTACCCCAGCCCTACCCATGCCCCTCATAGAGCATGTGACCTCCGACAGCCAGTCACCTTGCCCACTGCTCCCAGCCCCAAGCATCCAAGCTGCTCATGCCTGGGAGAAGCGGAGGCAAAGCAAAAACCAGACATTTGCTCAGATTTTAAAAACCCACCTGGACACAAGGACAGGGGGCCAAAAAAGAGGACATGTCCATGAAAACTCGGACATATGGTAATCCTAGCACTGCTCCACACGTGGCCAGGCCAGGCTGAGTTCCTGGTTGCCTGCAGGCTCTGGCCACTCATCTGTGTCTGTGTGCACCCCTCCACTCCGCTGCAGCCTGGGTGCAGGCTCTGGTGCCTGCAGCAGGGAGGGAGGGATGCATGGGGATCCTGGCAAGTAAGAGTGAGTGAGTATGTGTGTGTGTGTGTTTGTGCATGTATACAGGCAGTAGCTGCATAGGCAGCAGGGCTGGGAAGACGGGGCTCTGGGTCAGAAGTGAGGGGCACCAACAGGGCTGAGGGGCAGGGGCTGCAGGTCTGGAGTGCAGGGCACAGGCAGCACTGGAGGAGGCAAGGCTGTGGGTCGGGAGTGAGGGGCACTGGCAGGGCTGGAGCTTAGGAGTGAGGGGCAGGGGCTTAGGAGTGCAGGGGTAGAGGCAGGGCATAGGCATATAACTGCCACCCCTGCAATCATATACCCCTCCCTGTCTCCCCTGCTGGCTCCCTGCCCCCTCCCCCACGGGTGTCCTCTTTTTTGATCCTGGAAATACGGTAACCCTAAACAGCAGGTAAGTGTGTAGGGGGGAAGTGGGGAGGGAGGGAAGGGATGGGGGCAGGGGCAGATCAAGCCCCCCATGGTGAAGAAGGGGATGGGGCAGAGGCAGGGGCTGGGGTGAATGGGACCCCAGGGTGGGGCGTGGGAGGGTTGGAGCCCAGGCAGCTCATCCAAGGGTGCAGGGGACTCATGCCACTGTGCACACCTCTGGGGCAGACATGAGGGGCACGTGCACCCCCCAGATCTGTGCACAGGGCAGAGGCAGGCTGCTGCTGTGGGTTGGAGCTCTGTGCCCCGCTGCCAGTACCCCAGCAGCTATGCGACTCCACATGCCCGCCACGTGCTGGGTGCACTGAGGCCCCTGCCTGCCCAGCAATGGGAGGCATGTGGCATTGAGCTGCTGCTGGGGCACCAGCAGCAGGGCAGAGCCCCAGCCCACAGCTGCAGCCCACCTCTGCCCCACACACAGATCCAGGGGACATGTGCCCCTCAACCTGCCCCAGGGGTGTGCACAGTAGGAGGAGACCCCGCACTCCTGGATGAGCTGCCCGGCCTCTGACCCTCCCACGACCCACCCCAGGGCCCCATTCAACCCAGCCCCTGCCCTTGCCCCTGCACCTGCCCCACTCCCTCACCATGGGGGCCTCAATCTGCCCCCATGCCCCTTCCCTCCCCCATGCCCATTCCCCCCTACACACTTACCTGCTGGGCAGTGTCTGTGTGTGTGTGTGTGTGTGTGTCTTTAAAGTTTAAGTTTTACTCAGCCCCCCCAATAAGATTTTCTCCCTCCACTTACAGCTTCATGTCACACACAGAGGCTGCCCATGCCAGAACTTGGCTTCCCCTGTCATAGACAAACAATACGCACAATGCCAGATGTATGAACCCAGTGGGTAATACTAATGAGAACAACTCAGCACCTTGCAAAATACTCCAGACTTCACTTTATCCATTGTGACTTCATTTGGGGACAGCAAATGAAATTATTTTGTTGCAACATCTCCCCTTGTAACTGCCCTCTAACCTACTTCCTAGCTTTCTTTCTTTCTTTTCCTGATGGAGACGTGGAAAGGCAGCCAACAGAAGTTTACAAAAGCATCTGTAAACACAAACGGAGGGTTTTAGCTAACAATGAAAGCAAAATATGAGAATTAAACATCACATTAATGTAAGGGAGTTACTCAAAAAATCCTCTAAGAATAGCCTGTAAAACCAAGCATATATAGTAGCCTTCACAAAAATCAATTCTCTTGATCTCTTAGGAGGGTTTTATTACTGGCCTTAAAAAGGAATTGGCACATGAAAGCTAAAATATTGGCACAATGTAGTCACAGGCCAGATTCAGTTATGATTTCTATCAGCCAGTCAGATTTTTCAATTAAGAGTAACATTAAATTGATCTCCATTATTGAAAATAGTTTTTAGCTCAGCAGCAATCCAGCCACCTGAGAGGCCATCACATAAACTTGACTTCTACAGCTATTACTTTGTGGGTAATGAAATCCTTGTTAAACACTTGACTGAAACATCCCACAGTGAGCAGGGAGAGAGATGAAAACAACTGAAGGTTCTCAATGGAGGGATCTGGATTCAGTTCCTGGCTCTGCTACAGGCTTCCAATGCAATGCTGAGGCCAGGACTATAGCTATAGGTTGTAGATGCTGTATATAAGATCATCTGTTGTCTTTATAACTGTAGGGTCTGAGACAGGGGTAGGCAATTATTTCAGGTGGAGGGCTGCTTAACGAGTTTTGCTGAGCTGTCAAGGGCCATATGGATAGCCCCGCCCCTTGACAGTTGCCCCGCCCCTGGTTATCATCTTTGGACTGGAAGTCCCATCCCTAACCCCTGACCTTTGCCACCAGAAGTCCCCCCACCCTTCACCCTGGAAATACTCCTTTTGGGAGGGGAGTTGCCATCTTAGAACCAGAAAAAAAACCAATTTCATACACTAAAAGTCAAACACCTACTATAACATATTTTAATTTTATTACAAAAAATATTTTTGTCATGATTTGTGTTCGCATACTGTATGTAAAGGTGATTACATAATAACTTAAAAATAAATTCTTAGTCTTGTATATTGTGGGGCTGTGCATGTGTGTGGTGGGGTGTGGATGTGTGTGTGTGTGTGTGTATATAGCAGGGTAGAAGGGTGTGGGGGGTTATGAGGAGATGTGGCTGTGTGTGTTGGGGCATAGGGTATGTTGGGGGGTTATGTATATATGGGGGGTTATGGGGGAAGGGTGTGGGTATGTGGTGTTTGTGGGATGTGAGGGTGGGGGGTGTGGGGACTCCCCTCTGCACTCTCCCCATGGCCCGGCAGCAGTGGGTGGAAGCACTCAGGGTGCTCATGCCAGGTGCAGGCGCTGATGCCCAGCGAGGCGCAGTCTAGCCAGCACTGCACATCACGGCAAGGGGTGCAGCCTCTGCTGGGCAGTCTCTATTGTCAGTGCTCCCCGCCATGCACACACAGCCACCGTACTCACACAGCATGGGAGGGAAGCCTCACATGTTGGAGCTGGCTGCCTTCCCTGCCGGGGCTGAGCATTACAGGAGGGAAGCCCCAGGTGCCTTCCCTTGGGTGGCAGGAAAAGCAGCCAGCTCCAGTGCATGGGGCTTGCCTCCCGTGCCATGTGAGTGTGGGGGCTGTTCATGCGTGGTGGGGAATACCAGCAATAGAGACTGCCTGGCAGAGGCTGCACCCCTTACTGCAACGTGCAGTGCTGGCCGGAGCTGTGCCCCGCTGGGCACCAGCACCAACGC